CATAGACAGTGTTCAGGAAGTGGTAGCTATTTGTGACTTCATTATTGAACCCCAGTTTCACAAGCTCCTTGAATGTCCTTGTTCTGCATCTAGGACAGCTCCTAGGAGTTAAATCTGGCAACTTCTGGGAGAAGGGTGAAGGATGATGGTTGAAGGTGGGAAGGCATGGGGCAGCTAGTCCTGGATGGTGTCCAGCCAGGCAACAGCCCAGGTACCAGCCTGCTCCATCCCAGGCTTACCCTGCCTGGGCCAAACTTTGCTTCCCTGCGTGTCTCTCTGACTTGCACTAAGAGAAGACGCCATTAGCCATAAGGAGAACTGGCACAGGGCCCCTGTCCCAGGGGTGTTGGTGTGGGAAAAGCAGCCCAGCCCCCACCTTAGCTTATGTTGCTCTCCTGGTTCCACCCTTGCCTGGCTCCAGGAAAGGGCCCTCCCATTGGGAATCAGGAATACAAAAGGGCTAGGAGTAGCTTTTTTTTTTTTTTTTTTTTTGTAAAGATGTCCTACTTCTTGGTCTACACAGATGCAGGGGGAAGGTTCCTGTAGAGAGCATGAAGTGACATCAAGGCCATGGAACTCATGACCAGTTGTTGACTAGCCCACTGTGCCTCATGTGTGGTGAAGAGAGGACAGCCTACAGTGGCAGAAGTGGCCCAGTGCTTCACTTCAAGCCCAGGTCACTGGAAGGATAGTGTCCCATGCTGCCAGTTAGATCTCCTAGGCAGGGCCAATATCTCCATCTGGCTTCCTTTAAAGAGCACACACCAGGCCCAAGCCTGTGTCCCAAGAGACCTAGGAATAAACCCAGCTGCCTCCCAGAGCAGCCATGGGTCTAACCCTAAACATACTTCCAGCCCCTCCAGGACTCCCACCTGTCCTGCCCCTAGCCCCTTCTATATGGGCAGTAGGGTGCAAGTCTTATTTACATAATGAAGAGCCCTGAGTTGGGCTGGGGGAAAGGCAGTCTTGGGAGGCTGGAGTCACCTCTTTTGTTCCCTAGCTGCCCTGGTGATCTTCCTGCTCCCCTAGTCCACCCCTCTGGGGCGTAGAGCTGTCTGGCTTTCCTGGAAGAGGTGGAAGCTGCCTGGCTGTTTCTTCAGGGCCCATCACCATGGCATCAGCCAGGGAGGCGCTGGGCTCAGTGGGGTGTTGGCCCCCAGCTGCCCGTAGTCCTCCCCCAAGGAGGGGCAGGGAGCGGTCTTGGGCCTGTTCCCCAGAGATGTCACCAGGATTAGAGTATCGACTTTCCCCAGCTTTCCAGGTGGCTGCTAGTGGTGCCTATTGAATTCCGTGCCCGCTGTCCGCTCCCTGGGCTGTGGAGTGCGGGTGGAGGTGATGGGGCGGTCACGTGGGGTGGGTCTTCCAGGCTCCCTGGAGGGGAGGAGAGAAGGGGCGCCTGAGAGAACCTGAGGGAGAATGAAGACCCCACAAGGAGGGTCTGGAGGCAGCTTTTTTGGCAGGGTGTTCTCTGGAAAGCCAGCCACCATTGTTTGATAATAAGAAAGTCAAGCCCCTGCATCCAGTTCTGAGCCACCCCAGCCTATCCAACCTGTCCTCACCGCAGTTGCTTCCTCTAATGTCTGGGGGTCTGTCATTCTTATCGCTGAGTAGATCCTGATTTTTACTTCCAGCCCAGGGCCATGTTCCCCTTTATTCCCCATGTTGTGGACCCCTCTAGAGTTAGCCCCTTCTGAGTTCCTGGGGTCCGCACACCAAGTCCAAGATGGCTTGGACTTTGTCCTCATTTATTGCTTCCTCAGAGGCAGAACCCAAGCCCTACTCCAACTAGTGGAGATGTGAGGACCCAGGTGCCTCACTGCCCCTCTTCTTGTCTTCTGGGTGCTAGGCCTGGGAAACACAGACCAGACCCCACAAGTTTCATGGGCTTGCCCCCAGGGAACTTCTCCTGGCTCCACCCAGGCTGGGATGGGCCAGCTGACTCAGCAGCTGTGCTAGGACACCTCCAGGACACAGCTGGGTGACACCTGGGGAAGATGGGGGGACAGGTTGATATCCCTGGAAGCATAAGAAGCACAGGCCTGCCCCTTATGAAGGGTGGAAGCCTCCAGGGACTTGGGAGGGAGGGACTAACTGGGGAGCTGTAGGTACCTGAATTCAGCACAGCACTTCAGGCGGAGCCCCTATGTCTCCACGATCCTTATGTTGACAGGAAGAAGCAAGGCAGGCTTCCCAACTTTGATGACATATCAGTCACTCGGCAAAGGTACTAGGGCACCCTTGCTGAGACTCAGTAAGGGAAGCTAGGATCACAGAGACCTGGACCAGAATGTGGGCATCACAAATGCAGCTGGCCCAGCCCTACTAGCCAAGGAACACCTGGAGCTGCCTGTCCCCACCTGCAGCCCAGTTCCTGCCACAACGCCAGTCCAGGCATGCTCATTTCCCAGCACCCAGGCCAAGCTTTATCCCTCCACTCAGGCTGGAGTGCTGGCTGCAGTAGGTGCTGAGCACCCGGAAGGAAGGCTGTGGTTTCCACAGCTCACAGGCCTAGGGCCGAAGCCAGTGGGGGGGGGGGGCGGGGTAGACACACCCCACTACAGTTCCTGCTGGGGCCCACCTCTGGGGTCAGCTCCAGGAGGCTGCCAGGTTCTGGACTTGGATTCTTAAGGACCAGCCCACAATGTGGTAGAAGGAGCATGGGTCCCAAGTCAGAGACCTGGGTTAGAGTTCTGGCAATGTGATGTCAGATGGCAGTGGCCTTAACTTCTCTGAACCTTAGTTTCTCCATCTCAAAAACAGAACTGAGAAGCCCAGCCAAGTTGCTGTGCTGGGAAGATTCTTTGGAGCAAGGGGACCCTGGGATGGGAGGGTAAGACACCATTGGATCTGCTCCTGCTCATCCCTGAGACTCACCCCCCCAGTTTCTCAGAGTGCATTGGGGAGCTCAGTGTGACTGAGGCAGAAAGCTGAGCCTGTCCTGGTGGTGGCAACTGGTCAGACCTGTTCCTGCTCACCTCAGTAGACAGCCTGGGGGAGGGCTGCTGGCAGCTTTGTGGAGGGATTAGCTGGAGGGAAGCTGAGCCTCTCTCATTCCCGGAACTCTACCACTGGTGCTGGGGGGCTGCAGGAGGCAGCCAGGCAACAGCAGGGAGGCACAGGAACTCAATGGGTAAGAAGAATTTGGGGCTTCTGGGTACCCCAGCAGTCCCTGGAATAGGGATGCCTGTGGCTGCCCACTGTTTGCTACTTAGTTGTGTGTCATTGTTTGAGGTGAGGGGCTCCCTAGTCCAGATTTGGCTGCCAGGCAAGTCCCAACTGACACCCCTCCTTCTGTCTTGGCTTCTCCACACCCCCATCCAACATTCTGAAACAGGCACAAATGCCCAAGCATTTAAAGGAAGGCAAAGCCTCCTTCAGTGCCACCCCCCCACACCAGTGGGACTGAATCTTCCACAGGTGGCAGCTGTCTCCTGGGGCTGGCAAGTTGGGACAGGAGGCCCTTAACCCTCCCTCCACTCCTTCCCACCCCTCCCTTGCTTATTCCACTCCTAGCCAGGGATTTTGGTTTCAGAGCAACCTGGTACACCATCCTCCCCTCACGCATCCACTTCTCAGCTTTATGTGGCTGTGTATGGCAGTAAGGACAATGGTAAAGTCCAGGTGTGTACCGGGACTTAACCATTCCAGTGTTTCCACTCTGTAGTTATCTCATTGGGCCTCATAGCCACCCTGGGAGGCAGGTGACGGAAGAATGGACTATAAATGAGAACCCTGAGGCTCAGAGAAGGAAATGGCTTGCCCCAGGTCACAGAGTTAGTAAGCAGGGGTGTTCAAAGGCAGGGTGACAACACCAAGCTAGCAGGCTGGAGAGCAACCAGTGGCCCTGCGCCAGGGCAGGGGGTGTGGGGGTGGGTAGGCGGGGTACTGTTTGGGCTCGGGCTCAGGCTTCAGCTCACTCACACCCATCCTCTGTCGTTCATCTGTCTGTTATATGGGTGACCTAGGGCTGCAGTTTCAAAGTCAAGCTGCCTTGAGTTGGATGGAGGATGTTGAAAAAGTACTGAAAAAAAAATCTGCATGTGCCTATGAATAGGTTACTCTTCTTCCTTTGACCTAGCCCTCCTTTTCAATGCCCTCCCCTCATTCAGACTCTGGTGCTGTTGCCATCTCTGTCCTCAGCTGGACATAGAGACCCTGAGGATGGCCACGCCCAGTCCAGGGCCCCTTGCTGTGCCATCCAGGTTTTGGATTATCTCGCTTCCTTTGGCTGGGCCGTTTGGCTCTGTGAGGGCAGGAATGGAGCTATGGATGAAGAAAGTTTACTGTAAACATGCTGGCTAGCTTTCAGTAAACACCTGTCCCTGCCTCTCCTGCCTAGAGAACAAGTATGGAGGGCTGGGGTCTCTACTCCCTAGCCTCAGACACCCAGCCAGGCTGACAGGGTGTCTTACTCTCCTCCCCCTAGGAGGACCAGAGGAACCATTGGTGGGAAGGAATGAGACCAAAACAACATGTGATAAACCTTAGAAGGCCAAAAGGGGAAAGGGTTTGAGAGCTAACCTCTTCCTGCCTCTCCTTTGCCAGAAAAGGAAACTGACCTTGGGCGGGGACAGTGTCCTGCCCAGGGCTGCCCAGGCATTTTGCTGCAATGTTGGATGTCCACCCAGGTCTTCTAAGCCCTGGGCCAGACTCTTGCATCGCTATGTGAGATCAAAGCCCAGTTGCAGCCCCAACGCTGGTGGCTCAGGCCTATAATCCTAGCTACTCAGGAGGCAGAGATCTGGAGGATCACGGTTCAGAGCCAGTCCTGGCCAAATAGTTCGTGAGACACTATCTCGAAAATACCCAACACAAAACAGGGCTGGTGGAGTAGCTCAAGTGGTAGAGCGTCTGCCTAGCCAGCGTGAGGCCCCGAGTTCAAACCTCAGTACCAAAAAAAAAAAAAAAAAGCCCCCATTACATTATTCCAGCTCTTCCTTGGCAGGGAGGTTGGTTAGGCAGAGGATCTGGAACATTGTGGCCTTCCTTCATCCCCACAGCGTGAGCTTCGGCCTCGGCTTTGCACCATGAAGAAGGGTGCCAACGGCTATGGCTTTAATCTGCATAGCGAAAAGTCCAAGCCAGGTCAGTTCATCCGAGCAGTGGATCCAGATTCACCAGCTGAGGCCTCTGGGCTCCGGGCTCAAGACCGCATAGTGGAGGTGATGCCCTCACCCATCCCCTCCCCCAGACTCTTCCAGATTTTTTCTTCCTGATCTTTAGACACTTGGCAGCCATCACACCATCTTCTGCTTGGTTAGCCCTGGGGTAGGGGGCCAGGGGATGTAGTCAAGATGCTGGGTGGGTGGGCAGATGGATAGGAGAAAGGGAAAGGAAAGGAAGAGTGGTGGGTTGTAAATGGATAAACAGGCTGACTGATTTCTTTCCCACCCTCACTCTCTTAGGCTCTTTTTCACCAAGCAAACACTTTGCAGTCACGATTCACTCATCAAAATAGGTAGATGCCAGGGGCTCCCCAGAGCTTCTCTGCTACCTGAGTACCCCCTGCAATGCATGGGGGGGTGTGTGTGTGCGCGCGCGCGCGCATACGTATAAATCCTCTCTCCTTAGTTAGGCTTTAAGACACTGTGCTCTTGGACTGTGCTCACAAGAGAGGGAACGTGAACTGAATGCTTGGGCTGGTCCCAGAATCACATTCTGAGAACCTTAGAGCTGCCAAGGATAAAACTCTCCCAAGACTTCTCATTTTACACGTGAGAAAAACCAAGGCCCAGTGGGGAAGTCAGAAGAGCCTAGCCCAGGCCTCCTAAACCTCTCCACCCTATCTCTCACAGCTGTGTTTGTGTAGTCCCTCTATATTTTCTTTGGTTATTCCCTTGTGTCTTGTCTCTCAGCTGATTGTCAAGCAAGAGGACTGCTGGCCTCATTCAGAACTCTGTAGGCAAGGGGGCGTAGTATTTCTGGGTGGGCCCTCCTTCATCTCCAGCATTGAGACCTATGCTGGTAACCCCTGCCCTACCCCACAGGTGAATGGGGTGTGCATGGAGGGCAAGCAGCATGGGGACGTTGTGGCTGCCATCAAGGCCGGAGGGGACGAGGCCAAGCTGCTGGTGGTAGACAAGGAAACAGATGAATTCTTCAAGAAATGCAAAGTGATTCCGTCTCAGGAGCACCTGAATGGTGAGTGGGGTGTGCAGCTGGATGCCCCAGGCCAGGGATATGGCCAGTCCTCAAGACTTTGCTGTGTCCCAGGTGGGTGGAGGCAGCTTCCTAGCTTGGACTCGCCCTCCTTCTCCTTTATGGGAGGCCCAGCGGTGCGGGTTGGTGAGAGTGGGGCCCAGTGGATTTCTGAGATGGCAGTGACAACAGTCAGCAGTCGTGAGGGATGAATCCCCAGCACCAAAGGCAGCCTGAACCTCCCTTCCAACTCCCAGCATGTTCTTAAGGCAGTGCCTAGGTGAAGAAAGGGTTAACTCTGGGGTGGCCTCCAGCCATTGCTGGGCAGATCAGAGTCCAGTGACAGGGGCCCAGTGCCTCCCCCTGTCCTTCTGTCAGGTTGTCTTGGAAACTAAGGCTTGCAGGCTCTGGAGAGCAGTGGGTCCCCCTTCGGTCTCTGGGCCCGTCCTCTCCCCTCCCCCATCCTTCCCCTGCCAAGCCTGGCACCTTCCCCTGTCCAGGCTGAGCCAGAGGGGGTAGGGCTGCTACCTTAGGGTAGGGAGGGGTTAAGCAGCCTGGACTCTTAATCTGGACTTTCTCCTGGGGAAGATGGCTCAGGGAGAGGGTGCCTGCTGACCATACCAAGGGTGAAACCTCTTTGCAGTGGGTGAGGCCTGAGGGTCAGAGTTATATTTGTAGGAGAGTGTCCATATGACTCAGATTACCAACTAGAGGGGCCCAGGGCAGCCCTATCACCATCTGGCCTGATCCAGGGCCCCTGGAACTCCCGGAGCATCTAGCAGCTTTTAGGTAGGTGGGTGGGGCACCCCCTTAACTTGTCTCCAAGGTTCATGAAAACTAGGCAACTCAGGTATAACCCCCTGCCCCACTGAGACTGAGGCCCAAGAAGCCCTAGTCTTGCTCTTGAGGACCTGGTACAGGGAACACATAGCTGAAATTTGGATTCTACTCAACTCCTCCAATACTTTTCCCTGCCTCCAGCATCATTCCCTTCCCATCCACTCCACAGCAGTTCTACCTCTTCCATCTATCTCTCTGAGAAGTCCAAAGCCTCTGGCTAGAGGACCTGCCCAGGGAAAGGCCTAGTGGGAGGGGGAGGTTAGGTATCCCAGAAGTCCCCTGCCTCTCAGCCATGGAAAGGCTGGGGGTGTCAAAAGGAAGGAAAAGGTGAGTCAGGTAAGCTAAGAGTCAAGAGGAAACCCACCTACATTGACGAGGTCCTGGAGGTAGAACAGCCCCCTCGAAGATACGTGATTGGTGACCCCAAGCCAGATTCTCTCCCTGTCCCCTTCCTCTCCCCCCCTACCCCCCTCCATTCTGCACCACTAGGTTTCCCATTGGCTGGCTGGGAGGACACTGCCTCTGGGCCTTGTCCCCTCATTTCCAGGTGGCAGGCAGGGATTGGGATTGTTTTCTCTCCAGGCAGCAGGTGCCACCTATAATCTGGAGTGTGGCCTCAAGTCCTCTCTCATAGCATCACCACCTGAGTTGCATGTGAAAATGTTGAGGCTTAGACCCACCCTAGAATTCTGGTTTTAACAGACTTGCTAGGTAGGAATCAGGTACCCAGCCTCAAATTTCACCCCATCTAGGACAGCGATTTTCAAACAGCTTATGACCCATCTGTGGCTTCAGAGATCAGTTTGGTAGGTAAGAGACCAGCACATTGTTTAAATAAAATTGAATAGAAAATACCAAAGAGCATTGCACTGCAGTAAGGGTAAGTATTGTTTGCTGGAACTTTTATCACACACAGTCTTTGTGTGTACTGGGTGATCAAAATGCCAAATGTACTTACAGTGGGTTGCAGTCAAAAAAGTTTTAACCACTGACCTTGGGTGTGAAGTCTGATGGTGCCTATGCCCAAACTGTAGCTCTGGCCTCCTCTCGGTGTCCCTCCCACCAGACTTTTTGATTCATCTCTGCTCTCTCCCTTCCCTAGGCCCCTTGCCCGAGCCTTTCATCAACGGTGAGATACAGAAGGTAAGGGTAGCCCCCGTTTCTCTGTCATCCAATTCCAGGGATGAAAGGGGTGGGCCAGAAGGTGGCATGATTGGAAGGACAGCTCTCTGGCTCAGACTGAAACCTCAGGGCCAGTTCCAGCTCCTTCCTAAGTTCCAAGCTATGGGACTGCCAGAGTACCCCTCGCCCGACAAGGGGTAAGGCTGTTGCGGGGGAGAAGCCTGGCTGGGCCCCTTTGTAGCCCGCCATCCTGGGTGACAGCCCCGCCTCCAATTCCCCACCCAACAGAAGAGGCTATTCTTCCCCCCAAGAACAGAGCCTCAGTGTCTGACTGCATGCTGCTGTCCCTGCTACTTCCAGTCTGGGTTGGAAGAATAAAGCCCCTCCTCCCTGGGCAGAAGGGAAGGGGCAAGGCTGGGTGCCAGCCAAAGCCATAGAGGGACCCAGGAAGGGTCTGAGCCTCAAGCTGATGCCCCAGCCAAAGCTTTCTGTCTGGGATGGTCTGGCTCAGTCAGGCCACAGTGGGAGTCTGCAGGGTTCACTCAAAAATGACTTCCCAAGGGGCTCTTGCTAGGGGACCCCAGGGAGGGAAGGTCTTATGACCCACGATCTGAACTTTCAGTCAACCCATCTGTGGGTCTAGAACTCTCCATCCTGCTTGGCTACTTTAGGGTTAAGGTTTAGAGAGGGCTGCAGGAGGTTCGGGACCATCACATGTGTTCCCAATGCCAAGCAGAAGTCCTGGTGTCCCCCATGCTCCAAGATACCGCTCCTGGGTCACTGACCCAAAAAAGCAAGTTAGTGCTCAAAAGCCACATTGGGGAGGATGAGGAGAGAGCAATTCCACTAACCCCACTTTGGGCTCCCGCTCCCCCTCCCCCAAACCTTTCTGACTCATTAGGTGATGGATGGAAGCAGGGGACCCTCTGATCCTTTAAGGAATGTAGACATGCAAATCTGGAATTTGGATGGATGGCCAAGGCCTGAGCTGCATTTCTCAGACTGAGGTCCCCAGCTTCCCTGAATGGAGTTTCCTACCCCATTTTCCACCAACCTATATCTCTTGTCTCTGTGCTAGGAGAACAGTCGTGAAGCCCTGGCTGAGGCAGCCTCAGAGAGCCCCAGGCCAACCCTAGCAAGATCAACTTCCAGCGATACCAGCGAGGAGGTAGGCTGGCCTGGCCTGGTGGGGGTTGACAACTAGATTACAGGAAGTGATTCTCAGGCCACTCTAGCTTCTGGCACACAAGCTTGCCTTTGAGGTCACATGCTGAGTTGCATTCTGTTCTTGTGACCTGGCTTCTCTAGGCATGGCCCCAAGGGATCCACTCCACCAGGGCCAAGGACTGGGGAGCCTCAATGGGCAATGACTCCTAACTCTGCCTCTCTCTCCTCTTTACAGCTAAATTCCCAAGACAGCCCCAAGAAACAGGACTCTATAGAGCCCTTATCTACCTCCTCCTCCTCCTCCAATGCTGTCCTGGACTTCAACATTTCCCTGGCAGTGGCCAAAGAGAGGGCCCACCAGAAGCGCAGCAGCAAGCGGGCCCCGCAGATGGACTGGAGCAAGAAAAATGAACTCTTTAGCAACCTCTGAGTGCATCCACAAGCCAGGGCTGTGCCAGCAGCCCACCCACTCTAGCTCCCTTTCCCTGCACCCAACCGCCCTCCAATCGACATTCAATCAGCACCAGCATCTCCCTTCTTGACGAAGCTGATGGTCCTAGAAACTTTGTTCTTCCCATACTTTAGGGAAAGTGGATGCTTTTCCTGTCCTGTCCCAATCCTCTGAGGGCTTTATCCTACCAGGTATCTACTGGCTACCCTGCCTGGGACATCTCTAGCATAAGCAGGGATCATGGGGCCAGACAAGAGGTCCCCCTCCCTCACATTTCCACATGACTGGGGCTGGTCAGGAAACTGATGTCAGCAGCTACCACACATAGTAAACAGGGTATTCGTTATCCTGAGAGCCATGGCTTGGGCTTCCTTGGTTCATTTGATTTTTAAAAATTTTTTATTTTTAGTGTAGCACCACAAGCTTTAGGGGAATTCTGTTTCCTTGATTCTTATGATTTTTCTTGGTTGCTGCACCCAGAGCATGGTAATGGCCTCATCCTCAAATTTTTGTTTTCTGTTCCCATCCTTGGAGCCCTGGACAGCATGGGAAGGGCTTGGCTACCCCTGCCCATCCTGAGCCAGGCACCAGCATTGTAAGGAAATTCCTTCAGAAATTCAGCTGTTCCTCCAAACTGCATTGGCCTCTGTGTCTTCCTTTGGATCTTTGTCCTCTATGCTTGGGGCTTTCCAGGTGGGAAATGGTGAATCTCATCTTTGGTGAGATGGCAGGGTACTACTGGTGGATCATTAGGGCTCCCTGACCCCAAGCCTGGCTGGCTTTAACCAGAGGTCCTGGAATCCAGCAACATGAGCTTAGCCTCAGGGTCAGTGTGCCCGTGACACATGGGCTCCTGTGCAGTAGGGATGTTTATGGGGACCGTGGGAAGTGGGAGCTGAGACCGGTATTCTCAGAGGGCTCAGAGAGGAAGTCTGAGTCCTAGAACAGAGCTAGTTTGGGAATGCGAGGACTTGGCTTGACCCCTCTTGCCCCTGCCAGTGGGGTGCAGGACTCCCAGAAGGAGGCTGGGCTGGCTCCAGATACTCTATCTTATCTGGCCACTGGCCTGATTGGAGGGCTGCAGTCCAGCACTGTGGAAAACAGATTGGTCCACTGAGCTCCCGGACATGCTGTGTGGCAAGGTGGGATGGAAGGACTTTGCAAGAGCTAAATGTGCTGTTCCTCCACAAGAGGCCCAGGTCCTTTATACCACTGGCACCCAAGGCCACATCCTGGAGGTCTGCCAGGGAGGCCTGCCAGAATTGAGGCTGCAGAGCCAGGAGGTCCCAGGGCACGTGCTCAAGGAGAAAGAAGGGAAATTGGCCCCGGGCTACTTCCTGTCCACCCCACCTAGAGGGAACCACTCAGAACCAGGTTCTTGGACTGAGAGGAAGGTACCCTCAGGGAGGGAACCCATGAAGTCCTCAGCGTTCAAAGGCCAGTCACTATCTGGCCTTCTCAGCTTATTAGGGTTTGGATTCCACTAGCCTTAAAAGGGATCATCCAGAACCCTTATCATAGCACCCATCGTCCTATGTCAGGGTCAGCTGGGCCTGACCTGCTGTCACCCCACCCTCATCTCTACCCTTTGACCTCTGGTGGAGCCCCCTCCCACACACACACACAGGTGGAGCAGGCAGATTGCCCCACAGGGCTTCGAGGGGCCCCTCCCTACCTCACCTGCTGGGTGGAAAAGCCCCAGGGAACCTTTGCCTCTGACTAATCTGGAAGCAAGGACAGCTGGCTCAGGGAACTCCTACTGCTAAGTGGCTGGAGCAGAGTGCAGAAGGAGCCATATAAAGCAGACTTTAAAATTAGGCATTTTAGACTGCAGTTTTTTGCCCCAGTCTGGTGCAAGATGTCAGGAAGGGGCTAGGAGGTCTTGGGCAAGTCACCCTTTCTGGGGCTGTCCGCCACCTTCCCCCCCCCAAAAAAAATGCTCTACAAGCCTCCCAAAGGCTATTTGAAAAATATGCCTGGCCTTTCTTGTTGGCCACCCCTGATGATGACAGGACGTGGGGACAGGAGCCAAGGGGTGTCCTCCCAGGTAGAGGGGACCTGGAAACAGCTCTCCCTTACTAGAGGATTTTGCCAGCAGCCTATGCCTCTGCTGCCCTCTTGTGGTCAAGTCCAGGTGCACCTGGCTCAAGAGGTGGAAGGTGAAGAGTTGTAATGGGAGCACCAGAGTGACAGAAGGCAGGGTGGCTTCATGTGACTCTACAGCAGAGGAGTAACCTCTGCTTCCACCCACAGCCTGGCAGCAGGTTCTGAACTTCCTTGACAGGGTGCTCCCCAGTCATGAGGAGCGATAGCCAAATCTCGTTCCTCTACTGTTAGTGCTATCTGGCTCCAAGGAGGAAAAGGCAGGAGCAAGGACACAAGGCGGACCGTCTGGGCCACTCACTCCCTCACTAAGTCACCTGTGCTTCCAGAGTTGCGCCCCTGGGGTCATGCTGGCCTGCTGCTGACAACAGAGGACCAAGATACTCCTGAGTCCCACCCCTCACACCACCACCAGCACAACACAGGACTGATACCAAGTGGGCTTCTGCTAGCTCTTCTCCAATGTGCTGGACAAATGAGAAAACCAGGGAAGCTGGCTAAGCTGGGTGCTTTACTCTCAGCCAGGCAGCCCTAGGGAAAGCCCTGCCCAAGAATGTTAGTTCTCCAGGCCTTTCCAGCTCCCACCTCCATCCTGATCTTACCAAGGGATTCCTGCCATTACCCTCGCTCCAGTGATTCTGAGTCAGTTTGGCTGGGAGGAGAGTCTGCTCAGTCACTGCCAGGCACAGAAGGCCACAGCAAGCCCAGAAGGGCCTGAAAGGTGAGTCCTGTCTTGAAGCAGGACTGAGCACCATACATGCATCTTCCCTGAAGAACTCTGGTCTTTAGAAACGGGAGGGCTCTGCCAAACCCTCTCTATAGGGTTTCTCTTCCATGTGGCTGGTCTGTTCCAGAAGCCACTGCTGCTCTGATTCATTCATTGTCAGTCTGAATGTCACCTCCTGGAAAATGCTGTTCACAGCCACCTGCACAAGCCAGAGCAGGGCCTGAGTTAATCGCCCCAAGTCACAGCATCATTAGCCTCACCACCTAGACCTAGGCCTTCCCACTGACAGCCTTACCTGCTCAAAGTGAAGCTTCTGGAACATCCGGATGCTCGGTTCATTTCCTTGCCCGATTTTAGCCTCAAACCTGGTCAGACCTAGCTTGGTCACTCCTCCAAAGGGGTCAGAGAGAAGAGCAAGCATCAGGATGAAGCCCCCCATAAAACCCCCGTCCTTCCTGTCCCAAGTAAAGGTACCTGTCACCTGCCCTCCCCCTCAAGGCATAAGCAGGCTCAGCTCAGCTGCGGCTTGGCCACTCCTCCCCACTAGTCTGCTCAGGCTGCCTTACCATAGGACATCATCAGGAGAGCGGCCTCAGTGCCAAAGCCTTGGCCCCTGCAGCTGGGCTCTAGGAGAAAGAACACATCTCAGTTGGCACCAGGGACCAGGCTCCAGTGTAGGCACCTGACAGTATGAGCTTGCTCAATCCTCACAGCTCTGTGAGGCTGGTGCTACTGTGAGTATTCTGCACACAAGGAAGAAAGGCGCACTGAAGTGAAAGGCCATGCCCGAGGCTCCCAGCTTGCAACAGGGCAATCTGACTTCAAAGCTGATCCCTTCACCTCAGTGCACTGCCTCGAGGAGACAGGGGCCAATAGGGGAAGATGAGGACCAAGAACACAGAAACAGGAGGGGCATGGTAGGATGCTCCAGAGAAGATCATTTATTTTTGGAAAGACCTCTGCCCACCCTAATGAGGGGAAGACAGAATTTTAAAGACCTCAAAAACTAAGGGTTGGTTGGATGCAATGATTCAAGCCTCCATTTTTAACTAGTCAGAAGGTGGAGATCGGGAGGACTACAAAAACTCGTGAGACGCCCCTCTGATCTCAACAAATGGCAAGTCGTGGTGGTGTGTGTGTGCACCTCTCATCTCAGCTACCCAGGGAAGCGCAAATAAGATGATCATGACCAGGCTGGCCTGGGCATAAATCGAGGCCCTAATCTTAAAAATAACCAATGCAAGGCTGGGGATGTAGCTCAGGAGTAGAACACACTTATCTGGCATGCAAAGGCCCCGAGTTCAATCCCTGGCAAAATAAAAAAATAATACTAATAACCAATGCAAAAAGGGCTCGCGGAGTGGCATAAGGTCCTGAGTTCAATCCTCAGTACCACCATCAAAACCAAAACAAAACAAACAAAAAACAAATCAAGGTTGAGTTCATACCAAAGTGTTAGTGACAAATCCAGGTGTAAACAACCAAGCTAGGAGTAGTCACAGGGCAGTTTGCCCCAGCCAGGAACTGGCTCACCAACACGAAGCCTGCCACAGACTAAGGTTATGGTGGGGGGAGGGGCCTGGGCCAGGTGGAACAAACCTGCAATCATGACCTCAATCTCCCCCAAGGTGGGGTCGTCTAGATCTGTGAGGAAGAGATTCACATCTCCTGTCATGCAGCTCTCTTCAGTGAGGCCTGCCTGGGCCTGCCACTTCTCTGCATCCAGCACAATGAAGGTGCACTCTAAGGGGAGAGGTGACAGGGTTACCACCTGTGTCCCCCAGGAAAGAGAGATAAGGATGTTTGGTGTTCCCACCCAAGCCAGAGAACTGAAGGATACCATCATCTCTGAGCCTGGCAGCAGAAATAGGACCCAGAGCTTTTATGCAGCTCATTTCAAATTTCCAAACCTGCCTTCAGTCTGAAGGAAAAGACAGTCTTCTCCAAATAGTATCAGTACTCTCAAAGATTGGGAAAGCCAAAGGAAGACAGGAACTACACTAGACTACAGCAAAGGACACAAGGGCAGGGCCTAAATTTAGTTACAACCCAAAATGCTTTCCTTCCAAGCCTGGTGATTGCCAGGGGAAGAAGACAGAAGAGTCAGCCACACAGTCTAATCTCAGGTGGCAAGAGAGTACAAAGGTTTCCAACACCTTTCAAGCTTTTCCTAATGCTTTTGTGGCCCCAGAGAGATGAGAAAGGGAGGGAAACTGGAGGCTGTCTCTGGAGACATCCCTCCTGCTACCAAGGCCAGGGCCTCAGCTCCTCACTGTCTGCATCTTCCCGCCAGCTGCACTGCATCGAATACTCCTGCTCCAGGGTCAGAGGCTCTGAGGCTGTCAAACGCTGCAGTTCTTCCGATTTCATCCACTCATGGTATCTGTAGGTGCAAAGGCATAACCTTAGACATGCAGGACTGATTCAAAGACATAGATTTGCACTTTTTAAGATGTATGATAGGGAAGCGGGTCCTACAGGGTTGACAAAGGGCTCACAGAAGACCCAAAGAGAGGGTTTTGATTGCTCCTAAGATTGGGTCATAGACACAAGACCCTAGGCAAGGTAGTCCTATAAGAGAATAGCTAAAGCGGACACAGTGATCTGCCCAGCTTTCCAAGCTGGCTCGGGGGTCAGTGTGGAGGAGCATTGAAACTAAACATTCCTCAAATTCCTGATGGCAAGCAGACCTCAGCAAAAAAAGCTGGACAGGTCTCCGCAAAAGCAAGGTGCCAGGGACCCAAAAGGAGAACTACAAGTAGAGGACACCCCCCCATACCATCACTTTCCCAACCTACCAGACATTTGCCAACTGCCCCCACAAGAGTCCATCCTGAGACTCAGTCCAGTCTAGTCCTCAGCTAGCCCATCAGCTAAGTGTTTAAGGAAAAGCAAACCTTAAGTTTCTAAGACCTGAGAATATTCACTGACACCAGAGAATGTCGCTAATTTGTAATTGGGTGAGAAGATAATCTCTTCTTTCTTTCCTACATACATTTACTTGACAAAATAATTCCTTACTGAAAAGTCAAAAAAAGAAGTTGAGAGGTGAAAGGGAAAAACAGGAATGGACAACTCCTTCCAGCTTTTTTTTTTCTTTGATGTTAAAACCAATGTTTCTTCTCAGGAAACAGCCTCTGAAATTAGGTCTAAAGACGGCCTCCTCATTATGCTGCAGAGAGTTAACCCTACATGGAGCTACAACTGCACCCCAGGTCAGGTGGGCAGTTACCTAGGCACGTGTTCAGAGGTGTAGGGTACCAAGACCACCTTCTTCCCCAGCAGCATGGTGTTCTCGTTCAACCTCATGATAAAAGCCTGCAAGAGAGGACAGCAAAGACTTCAGGACCCTGAGTTTCTTTCACTTAGGGTGGGAACCCAGGCTCTCCTGCTGCAGGGGTGCTAAGATGACAGAACCCCCAACTCCCTAAGTTGACACTCCCCTCCCCATTCTTCTTTACTTCCAAACACTTCAGAGAACGCTGACTCTATAAACCTTCAAGAGAACTCAGCTGATTAAAAACAAGTATAATCTGTGGTTATGGAGAGTTTAACAGCAAACTTATTTTGGCAAATATAAATTTGGTTCTGAGTTTCACGAGTCGAAAATTAAATCATTTATGAAAATTAAATCATTTATTAAGCTCGCCTCTCAGAGGCCACGTTTTTGGGAAGCCATTCCTGCCTGTCCCTTCGATCTACCACTCGAGAACTTCGATCCATCAAATCCAAGCAACAAATAGCCAAGATTCATACTCAATGCTCCCATCACTTGACCCAGTCCAGAACTCCAGCCCAGGATCAACTTTCAGCCGGGTCTTAAACCTATTTCCAACCCTTCACTCCAATGTCCCTACCACCACCCCCCACCTCCCGCCACCTGGCTCAGGCCATTCTAGGTTCTCAGGTCCCTCCCCTTTGCGAGGATCCAGTCCTCGACCCTCTAACCACCCAGGTCCGGGAACTGCTAAAGCCACACCCATGCCCCGTAGAGGAAAGCGCCTGCAACACAGCTGGTGGTCAGCCTCTCCCAGCCAGCCACGCTTCCCCGCCAGGCCGGCGGCCACCCTTCTCGCATGCGCGTAAGCATGCACCGCCCACTTCCGCCACGCAGACGGCAGCCGCCAGGGCCAATCCGGCCCCGCCTCCTCACGGCGTCCAATTAGCGCTCTGCGCCCCGCCTTAGGCGCGCGCCGGGAAGGTGGGCTCGGGAGCCAGCGCATGCGCGCTGCGGGCTCTGGTGCGGGACAGCTGGCGCCGGCAGCAGCAGAGGAGCTAGAAGTGGCGGCCGTGGCAGCCGGGAGCAAGCTGTGCTGCAGGTGTCGGGCCGGCGGGAGAATGGGATGAGTTGGAGGTGGTTGCGAGGCTTGGGGCTTCTCCTGGAGACAGGGCTAGGGAGAACCTTGGAGGAGAGAGGTTTGAGGGTGGGGAACCCTAAGGCAGGGCAGAAGTCAGGTGAACAGGCGGAAGGGGGAGGCCCCGTTAAGAAGGAGAAGCATTGGGGCTTGGAGTTGGCTTAAGGGGCAACCTAGGAAAGCCCCAGCTACCTGCCATAAGTGAAGAGGTGGACAGTTCCGTGGACTGCTATTTGGTGACGAACTCGCAGTTCTTGGATTCAAAAAGGCAGTGAGCACCGCAGAGAATATTAAGGGGACTCTGTTGGTGGATGAAACTTAGTGACTTTGGAAGTCTCTTGAATTACTTGGAGCCCGAGCAGCATCCATGCACAGAGCAGTGCCTGGCACAGCAAGGGAGAAGTTGGGAGAAACTGCCCACTAGGCTGTCTGTGACAGATAATCGAGGCCGGAAGTGTCTGTGATACAAGGTCAAGAGATGAAGGTTGCGGAGGGGAGACTGCTCCCTTACCCTACCTCATCTCGGTCCATCAGAAAACTGAAGTCTGCTCTTTTTTCCTTAGGAAGCTGCAGCAGCTGCTGCCCCTGCACAGAAGGAAACTCTGCTGCCTTTCCTTCCTCACTTTTGAAGATGGCAGGAGAAATCACAGAGACTGGGGAGCTCTATTCTCCCTACGTAAGTTTAACTTTTTGAATCTGTTTTGCTTGCCACAATGCTCCCAGCTTTTAGAGAAGCAAACTGCTTCCTAAGGGCTCTAATAGTGATTGCACTGGTGTGAGTAGACCCCGGTGAAAACAGGATGGGAGCTCCATGTAGCAGCAGCCTCGTTGCTGCTGTCGTGGCTCAGAATATGAGAGTCAGGTTTATTCCCTTATTAGATGCTTATCAGAGAGCACCAAGCCAGACAAAATTAACTTGCTAACTCTTTATAATGTTTATCTCAGGGCTCTTACCACTTGCACATGGTGCTGCCCTTCAAATGGTCAGTGATTTGACAGCTGTTGATTTGGGTTTCGCTGATCTCAGCAGTTTAAAACTGCTTTGGTCTTCAGCTGAATTTTACGTTGCACAACTTTTATGGTCTGGGATGGCGAAAGAGGCAGTGAAATGTAGAGACTTCCAATTGTAATTTGGTGGAGTCTGCAATTAAGACAATTAGAATGATTGATTTCTGTCTTGAGTCTGTGTTACCTTTCACTCCCCCTCACATTCAGTTTACCTTCTCAGTGTAATATCCAATTAGTCACGGTTGTTACATCACAGAATCTTCTTGCCTGGATAAACAGCTGGAGGATAATCATTTAAATAATCAGACAGTTGTCTCAGATTGCTACCAGTGTTGTACTAACAGAAAAAGGTAACAGTGCCCTGAGTAGCCAGAGCCTTCTTTCTAGAATTTACCTGCCTTAAACAGTTGGATTACAGGCATGAGCCACCATAAAGTCTTCAGAACAGCCAAGCCTCACAGAGGGGTTTGGATACCACACCTTCTTAAGGCTGGTGATGGACATAGTTACATAATTCAGGCCTACATGTGTTGCCATGAGTGGTCTCAGGACAAGAATATCTTTCCCCCAATTTGGGGGGGGGTCAGGACTGACTTGGAGCTGAAGTAGTGGCTGTGTGATCAGAATACAGGTGGATTGTGCCTAACAGGGTAGCTGCTGAGGATGCCTCTGCTGGTTGGTTCTTGCTGAAGATCATTGCTGTGGCTTTTTTAGGAGACGGCAGTGACTTCATAGCCATAAATCCTAGTTGGTGCTTACACATCATTGCTGGTTTCTGCTTCCTTTTTCACGGGGGAAGCCACTGAGAAACACTAGTAACCATTGTCTCCTGGATGTCATGGGGTTGCTGCTGGGTTGGAGGTGAGGCAAAGAATGCTGCCTAACCTTCCTAGAGCACAGGGGCCAGGGCAGCGTCCCAGGGAGCAGGGACTGTGCTTTCTCTATTTCAGCCACAGAAGATGAGTTGGGAAGTGGAGGAAACTCTGTTTAGGTGCTTGTCTATGGAGATTGTAATAGGCCTTATTCCTCTGCTTCTTGCCACTCTTCTCCAGAAACTGGCCCCACAGAGCTGTCACATGACCAGCTGAAGGGATGTCTCCTTCTTTCCCTCCCACTCCTCTTGACCCAGCCTGTGACTGAGCTAAGAGTTGCTTTATTTATTTACACCTTGTGATCTGTCCTTACTGAGTACTTTTACTGAAAGTAGAGTCCTGTTCTTTAGGACTACTGAGGCCCTCAGAAGGCAAAGTCCTGCTTTATACCGTGGGATTCCCTGAGCCCCTACTAGGCACATAGTGCTTGCTTTGGAACTGAAAAATAGCAACAAAGTAAGGCAAATGTGACTGCCCATTTCTGCTCGAAATGACCAATAGTTTATCCTTAATTAACCTCTTTATAAAGTTGTAAATGCTTGTTTCTCATTGAGGTTTATTTGAAATTGCTGTTGATAAATGTCTTGTGTAGTTGTGACACTGCCTTTAGCATTGGTTCTCAGCTGGTCCAGGTGATCTTGCCACGAGGAGGCATTTGGCAATGTCTGGAGACAGTTTTGATTGTCAGGACACCATTGGTAGGAGGACAGTGGGGCTACTGGCAACAAATGGACAGAGGCCAGGTTTGCTGCTAAACATCCTAAAATGCCCGGGGTAGGCCCTACCACAAAGAATGATTTAGCCTCCAGATGTCCAGAGTGCCCAGGCTGAGAAAACCTGATCTTTAATTGGCCTTTGAACTTTTACACCCCAAGACTTTTAAGCATCCCTGAATTTACAAATACTTCTTGTACTGTCTAATTTCCTCATAATACTTTTGCCTAAGTACCATTACTTTCTTAAAGCTTTCAGTCTTCTCTTTACTTCCATTATGAGAGCCATTACCAGGACCATTTTCTATAAAGAAATAAGGGTTTTTATCCCTTATTTGTGTTACTGCTCATAGAACTGAGGAGCAGAGAACAAAGCTGCAGAGAGTTCAGATGTCAGGTGATCAGCTGGGGTTTGTTCTGTTAGTGCTCTGCTTAAAACCTAAAAATATCAACTGTCACTTCCAAAAGGGCTATGCAGTCTGACTCCAACCTCTTCTGCCCTTCACTGCCTGGCTTGCTGGGCCTCGGCCACCCTGGCCTCTTGAAAGCTTTGTAGACAGTTCCACCTCTCTCCCACTATAGGCTTTTGTACCTGGAAGTCTCTTCCCTGGCCCACTGCCTGGCCATCTCATCCTTTAGGTCCCAGCTTAAATATCATCACAAGACTTTCCCCTTACTCTTTGTCACAATACCCTGATTGTTTTCCTCATTATGCTTCTCTCAAGCTATAATCATTTTCTCATTGTCTCTCTTCCTTCTTAGGATGGAGATCTGTCAGGTCAAGGGCCATGTCTGTCTTCTTCAGATGTATCCCCAGCTCTAAGCACAGACCCTAGCTCACAGAAGGCTGTTGGGTGAATATGTGAGTGAATGAGCAGAACAGACATTCACCCTGGTATACACACCAGCCATAAAATGCCAGTGATGAAACTGACCCCAGCAAAAGTAAAACTTAGTTTGTTATAGATATTCACGGTCACTTGTGAAAAGCAGAAGGTTTCAATTCAGAAGGCCAAATGTGGGCTATCATGTCAAGGTAACTTCAGTGGGGTCTGGCAAAATCAGATGAGTGCCCATCTCCAGGCTGTCTGCCAAGCACTCTGGGAATATAAAGAGATGTGAGACATGGTCCACTGCCACAGCAAGCCTCAGATTTAGGGGAAAAGATAAATATACCACCATTGAAAATGCAGGGTAAAGTATAAGAAGCTGTATTGCTCCAAGGATTCAAAGGTGGGAAGCAAGATGAATTTGGAAGACTGGGAACAGCTTTGTGGTAGAAGTAGCAGTTGAATGGACCTTAAAGGCTGAGTAGGAATTGAGAGGCTGTGAGGAGGCAAAAAAGAGCTTGGTGCCCTGTACCAAGCACAAATATGCTGAGGTTAGAGTTCTTTCCTCTCAACAGGATGTCCTCTCATTTGTCCAGCACTAAGGTGTTCAGACAACACCTGCTGGGAAGCCTGATCCTCTCTATCCACTGCCCTCCACCAAGGGCTCCAAGGTAGTAATTGACCTTATTTCTATTTCTTAGTGGATTTTGTTTTTGTTGTTGTTGTTGTCATTGTTTGCATGGTGGCGATTAAACCCAGGGCCTTGTACATGCTAAGCAAGTGACCTACTACTAAGCTACATTCCCAGGCCTTGGTTTTTTTGAGACAGCATCTTAATATGTAGCTTAGTCTGACCTTGAATTTGTGATCCTCCTGCCTCTGCCTCCCAACTTCTGGAATTAAGCATGTGCCATCATACCTGGCTTCTTCATGCTTAAAAAAAAAAATCTGAGACTGGGTCCACTTTGTGTATTTCTAATCACAAGTTTAGTAAATGGCTGCCTTAAAAAATCTTAAAACTAGGAAAATGCATCTAAGAGTGGGAATTGAAAGGAGAGATGAGTGGGGTTTCCAGAGAGGAGGTGTGTGTTTGCCTTTTCTAAATGGTCAGAAACAGGTGGTAAAACAAATTGTAAGACAACCAACCTAGTATATAGGAAGACCAGCTAGGAGTCTACTATAGTGGGCCATGTTAGAAAGAATTCATTCACTGGAAATGGAAATAAGAACAGAAACCCAAGGAAGACACAAAAGGCTCTTTAGGAATAAAGTCAGTAGCTTTGGAATACCAGGAAAAGGAAGGAGGCCAAGACTACTGCTGGGATGTCCAGGTGAAAGTGACTGGCAGGCAGTTGGTCTGCAGGAAGGCCGACACTGTGAAAACTACAGTCATTTTCTGTCCAGCAATGATATAAAGCCAAAGGGTTGGACTGAGTTGTTGAGGAAAAGAGATGCAGAGGAAAAGAGATGCAGAGAAAAAGAGACAGCTAATGTCAGACTGTAAGAAAGACTAGGAAAGCCCTTGCGTTTGACAGACAGGAGGCTATTGGTGATGTTTAAGTGTGCAGTTTCAGGCATGGTAGTACAGGCCTGAAATCCTAGCACTCAGGAGGCAGAGGCAGGAGTATCGCAAGCTCAAGCCTGGGCTACATAGTGAAACTGTCAAAAAAAAAAAAAGGAAAACAAAACAAGAGTGCAGTTTCAAAAGAGCGCTTGGGATGGAAACCACCAAGGACAGACACTTGGAAATGAACGCATAGGGGATGGCTTGCTTCCTCCATGAGTTTGGTATAGAAGACGTGAAGGGCCGTGTTTTAAGGTGTCAAGAGAGTATTTGTTGGCAGAGGAGAAGAGCTAGTGGGAAGAGAGGATTCCAGGCTAGGATGAGCCCAGAAGTTCTGGTGCTGGCTTGGCTTCAGCAAGGAGGAAAGACACGTGTTCCTCAAAGGGAGAAAGGGAGGGAGGAAGCAGACACTGATTTTTTGAGCTAGGAAGGAGTGAGGATTTGGGAGCACACATCAGATGGCCTTAGTCCCCTTCATCAAGTAGGGGATGGAGCCGTCATCTGAGAACAGCGCGGTCATGGGAACAGTGAGTCTGGGAGCTTGAAAAATGAGCTTTGGAGCAGTTACTATGGGAAATGCCAGGGAGTCAAATTGAGAAATAAATAAAATCAGTGTTGCTGACCCTAGGTGAAGGTACCACTTGTTTTTTGTGAGACCATCCTCTGATCCAAAGAAAACACCTCAGGGCCGTTCAGCAGCTTCAGCTCAGTGAGGAGAGGAGAGCAGGTGTAAGGCCTCATCTTAGCAGGGGATAGACCAGTTAGAACAGGGAAGAGGGAGGATGAGGGAGGCCCAGCCATGTTCCTGAAACCAACTGGCCACAGCAGGGAAGGAAGGTAAGTGGTGCCCAGTGAGGTGAGAGGAGCTTTAGGCGAGGGGGGTGGGCAGAAGTAGAGACAGCTCAGAGAATGGAGAACACTGGAGAAGAGTCAAGGTTCAGCTCAGAAAGGAATTTCACAGTTGATGTCTTGGGAAAAGAAATAGTTATAATTAGCTGATCTAGCCTGGAGGTGGCTGAATTAGACTTAAGTTTGAAACCTGAAGTCAGTGACGTGACAAATTGGGGTGGGGGGGGTGCTATAAAATGGTGTTGCTTTGAACCACCTTGTATTACTAACACACATTCGATTGTGGGTTTTTTGGCAGTACTGGGGTTTGAACTCAGGGTCTCATGCTTGCTAGGCAGGCGCTCTTAACACTTGAGCCATTCTACCAGCCCTTTTTTATGATAGACTTTTTCTGATTTAGGGTCTTAAGAACTATTTGTTTGGGGCTGACTTCGAATTGTGATCCTCCTGGTTTCTGTCTCCTTAGTAGCTACCATTGCAGATGTGAGTCACCAGCACCTGGCTCAATTGTGTACCTTTTTTTTTTTGTGGTACTTTTTTTTTTTTGCGGTGCTGGGATTTGAACTCCAGGCTTACACCTTGAGCCACTCTGTCAGCTCTTTTTTATGATGGTTTTTTTTGAGATAGAGTCTCACTATTTGCTGGGGGCTGGCTTTGGGCCATGATCCTCCTGATCTCTGTCTCCTGAGTAGGATTGCAGGCATGAGCTACCAGCGCCTGCTTGATTGTGTACTTTATTTATTTGCAGTACTGGGATTTGAACCTAGGGCCTACACCTTGAACCACTCTGCCAGCTCTTTTTTGTGATGGGTTTTGTTCAAGATAGGGTCTCACAAAGTATTTGCCTGGGGCTGGCTTTGAACCATCATCCTCCTGATCTCTGCCTCCTGAGTAGCTAGCATTACAGGCATGAGCTACCAGCACCCAGCTCAATTGTGTACTTTAAAGGGTAAATTTTATTGCACATGAATTATGTTTCTTTTTTTTTTTTTTAAACTCTGAAGCTGGTGTAAGGAGAGGAGTGGAGTAAGGGAAACATGAATGTGGATGTCTCAAAGGATATTGTCAAGGATTGGTTTGGAGGAGGCTTAAATCACATGACTAGCAGTCCTGGAGGTTTCTTGGAGGCCCATTCTGTGTTCATCCTTGTTCATCCTCGTTCATCCTTGTGCCCATGCTGCCCTACCCATGACTCTCTGTTCTCAGGAAGCCTTCAACCTAGTTGAGCAGAGTGCTTCTATCTATGTCAAAGTTTTGAGTAGGTATGAAATGATGACAGACAAACAGAGACTAAAACCAAAAAACTAACAACGGGGCTATAGTCCTGAGTATTAATGTTTGGTTCCCCAGCACTGGGTTGCAGAGCCTGGCTTCTTAGGGCTCCGTTTCTTGATCCCTTCCTGCCTGCCTTCCTGTCAAAGGTCTGGGAAGGCCTCCAAGGTTGTGCTGTCACTCACATATCAGAGCCATTGAGGAGAGAGGTTCATTTTTGGGCATGAATGTTGCTCCTCTTCATTCCAGGTTGGGATGGTGTACATGTTTAACCTCATTGTCGGCACGGGAGCTCTCACCATGCCCAAGGCCTTTGCCACTGCTGGATGGCTTGTCAGCCTCATCCTCTTGGTGTTCCTGGGCTTCATGAGGTAAGATGTGGCTGGATGCTGTCACACGGGGGCTAGGCAGGGCTGGAGGAAGTCTGCCCAAGAAACCTGACTATCTCATAATCAATGGGCAGGTACTTGAGAGATGGGAAGATAGCTTTCTACCTTATATGTGAGTCCTAAGCTGGGTGCCTGGAAAAAAGAAAATAGATGCAAGGTCTTCCGATGCCTCGTGCTAATGGAGCAATTGCACAATCCCAAGCAGTTATGTCAAGACACTGGACCAGGCCTTGGAGTGTTCACGTGGTGCTGACTCTCTCATCCCAGCAGACTCACCTTCCCTCCTCTGTACTCTGTTCCTTTAGCCATCAGTCCTTGTCCTCTGAGAAGACACTACCTAGCCATAGAAGAAGAATCTAGTAAGCATTAAGGTGATCTGGGGAATATATTTAGAACTTAGAATTTACTTAATATAATTAAATATCCAGGTACACACACACACACACACACAGTAAGTTGTTTAACAACTGGTCCCTTAAGGACCTGCCCTGTGTCTCCCTGGGCCTTGGAGGGTATGTGCTCTGTGAGCCAGGTGTAGGGGTTCACCTGCTGGTGCTTCAGAGCGGGCAGAATCTACCTGAGATTCTTCTCAAAGATTCTAAAGTTGGTACACAACTGTCCCAGACAACTAAAAGGATTTAGGACTAGACATGTCCAGCATCCCCTGGACCAGGTAGGAATCCCCATAAAAGAGGTAGGAATGAGCACCTGGAAACACCTCCAAGGGGCACTTCCCCTGAGAGGGGCAGCAACCCTCTGTACACCAGGTACTGCTCTGGTGTTTGGGATGCTTCTTCATTGAACAAAGCAAAGATCCCCACTTTTGCAGACTTGCTTGTGTGTATGGGGGCAGATAGTAAATTGGAGAGTGAGTTGGAAGGTGGTGAGTAATATGGAAAAAACACAAAACACAGCAGGGAGGGAGGTTGGAGAGGGGGTTACTGCCGGCTTAAGTAGGGAGTCAGGGGTCATGAGGAGCAGACTGGAGTATAGGTTTGAAGGAGAATGCTGTAGGCACCATAGAAAGAATGAAACTCAGCAATTGAAGTAAACTGAGGACCAGAGCATGGGATGGAAAGGCACATAAGGCTCTCAGTGTCTATGCATTTCTTTTGGGGGTTTTTGTAGTGAACCTTGGAGTACTGTTGGCTCTCTGTACTTCAGGCTGTGGCTACCAAGAGCTCTAGATGTCCTTGTCCTTGTCCTTAAAGTGACTCTGTACTCTTTAAAGGGCCTTCAGCATAAGCAGCCATCTGAATGGGAAGTGATTATTGGGGCCCCCTCAAGTAGGGTGCTGCCATGCCCTCTCTGTGCTAAACCCATTTATGTTTGAACATGATCAATGAATTGGCTTTGTACAATCATGAGCAGTCCCTTTATGCCTTAATTAAGATTGATTTTAGTTTCACTTCCAAAAAAGAAGGGAAATGTAGAGTCCTTAAAATGGTCAGTTAGACAAGATAATGAGAAACCTTTCTCAGAAGTGCTAAGACAATTGGAATGATGTTAGGCCTGGCTGCCCCACCCCCCAAGATAGAGGGATGTGGGTTTAACTGCTGTGGGACCCATTCACTCCTCTCCCACCTTCCACCCGACTACAGAGCTTGAGTGGTCACTCCTAGCTTATGTCAGCACTTGAAGTTGCAGGAGCATAGCTGGGCTGGCCTTGAGAAAGAGGGAGACAAATGTTCACCCCAAGTTGCTTCATGGCAGGAATAGATTCAGGTTTCACCAGCAGGCGGGCAGCACTCTGTATGTCCCTTTAACAAGAGCAGCATGTTGTGCTGGCTGCCACGAGTAGTCTCTAAGTTTCTATAACAAGAGGAGAAAAGATGATTTCCAGTCCAACTTCTTGGCAAGCATCTGCCAAGAAGTCTCTCTTTAGATTTGGGCTGTAGTAATGCAAGCTTATTTTAATGTTACCCAAGGAAAAAAGGGAACAGATTCTGGAGCCAAGTTCCATTTTCAGTTATCCACCCCTGTGTCCTACCAGGAAGAGGTGAAACTGCATTGTCCTTCCAGAAGCTCTGGAAAACCCCTTTGTGAATCAACCTCTTCCTCCCTTCCTAGCATCATTTAGTGTCTGCCCTGTCTGGGTGTGCAGTACCATGTCATCCCCACATCACTTCCCTCCCAGGTCACACTCTCCCTGAGTAGTGTCCTCTCATCAGCTTATTTCACACCTTCTGTCCCATGCACAGAAATGCATCTTAAATGTGAGCAGTAACTTTAAGGTGAGCACACAGGGTGCTGGGTGTGCACATGAGCACTTTTTTCACCAGGAAAGCCCATCTCAGATAGATCTCAGAGGCAATGCTGTGCATTTGTTAGTTGGATCACTTTGTGCCTCCTGCAATCTCCTCCTTATAATTAACACGTGGCTTCCCTCAGCTTTGTGACGACTACCTTTGTGATGGAGGCCATGGCCGCAGCCAATGCACAGCTCCGTTGGAAGAGGATGGAAACCCACAAGGTGTGTGTTGCCTTTGTCTCCAGGCAGTGCCTCTGTTCAGTTGTGTCCCTGAGATGTTCTTGGCAGCCCACTCTTCCTTCCATTGCGTGGAGGGCTCCATCCACAGTGCTGCTCCTGGAGCCTAGTCCTAAGTCCCTGAGCTGCAGCCTAGGCAGTACAGAGAACAAACAGGGTCTGCTGTCCTAGTGTCACTGCGTTGGATGCCCACCTGGAGCTCACACCCCCACCTGAAGCTAAACTTAGTCATTCTGAACCTTTGTCCCCAGGAACTGTACTGAGTGTCTCCACCTTCTAATGTGACATTGAGGATGAGTTGAGAGCTTCCTAATCAGATAACCTTCTGGAAAGAAAGAACAAAGGAAGTCAGTTCACCATTGCTTGGGATTTCTATAGAGTTATTCACTCATTCTCTTTCTTTGTGGTTTCCTTCTCATCCCACCGCCTCTCAGGAGGAGGAAGATGAGGATTCCTCCACAGCCTCAGACAATGACATCCTCACCCAGGACAACTATGAGCAGGCAGAGAAACAGCCCATCCTTTCTGTGCGTAAGTCCTGGGCTGCTGGGCAGGCTCCATGCCTCCCTCTGGTCCACAGAGTTCCATCTCTTTGTGAAAGGGCCCTGGAGACTCCCCTGGCAGATGTCCTCTGGCATTTCCTGCCTGCAGTAATGCAGCAGGGGAGAATAAACAGAGCACAGACTCTGAGGACCCAGGCACAGGCCTGGCCCCTGCTGGCTCTGCCTCTTATTAATGTTTGCATCTTGGCACCTTACTTGAGCTCTGTGCCTCAGTTTCCCACCTCTCCTACTGTTAATTGAAATGACTGAATGCCTGGTTCTATGCCTTTTGCACACTAGAAGTTTGGGTGGACGTGGGTCTCTGGCTTCATCCTCCCACCTCACCCACTCAAACATACATGCCTTTGCCTCTCTGTCCCTGCTCCAGCCAGGCCAGAGCTAAGGGTACCTGCTCTCCCACTCAACCCATAGGGAGCATCCCTGAATCCTCTTTAAAAATATAGACTTGGATCTGGTGGTGCAACTCAGAGGTAGAGCATGCACTAAGCCCTGGGTTCTATCCCCAGCACACACACACACACACACACACACACACACACACACACACACACACACACCACCTTACAATGCTTCAACAGGAAACATTAGGAAAAGTTTGCTCAGAGTTGGAGATGTTTGGAGGTTTTCTTATTCTGCAGAATTCACAGAACTCAGCAACATCCTCTGGGAGCTCTTCCAGCAAAAAATCACCATCCCTTTCCAGGTTCTATCCCCAGCACCACACACACACACACACACACACACACACACACACACATCCCCAGCACACACACACACACACACACACACACACACACACACACACACACACACCACCTTACAATGCTTCAACAGGAAACATTAGGAAAAGTTTGCTCAGAGTTGGAGATGTTTGGAGGTTTTCTTATTCTGCAGAATTCACAGAACTCAGCAACATCCTCTGGGAGCTCTTCCAGCAAAAAATCACCATCCCTTTCCATGTTCTTTTGGTCCCACAGAGAGGCGTGCATTTCCCAACCTTTTTGAAATCACAGACCGGGTGGAGATGGGACAGATGGCCTCCATGTTTTTCAGTAAAGGTAATAGTTCTTTTGGAATGGGGCATGGGGAAAGGTCAAGTTAAACCTTACCTGCAGACCTGGCCCGTGTCATGGGTTACCCACATTGACTGGTGTGGACCATGAGGGGAGCAGATTGTCCACCGCTTCCAGAACACCCGAAAAGCCACCTTGCCAAGAGGGCCTGTCCTGCTTTTTTGCTTTTCTTCCTTCCTGTCCATTAGCATGGAGAATAAAGACCTAGTAGAGGTCAGGAGTCCTAAGTTGCTTTCCAATGAAGGAAGCTGATGGAGGCCAGCTGGAAGTTTTGTACATCTCACTGCTTGCTTCTGACTTCACTGTTGTCTTGTGGCTGTTCTGTCTGGGACCACACCGACAGTGGTAGGATCTGCCACACACAAGCCTTTGTGTACCTCCAGCAGCCAGCAGAGGGCACTAGGAGCCCATGCCAAGGTTGCCATGTGGGCATGGTGTCCTGGAGAGCAGAGGTGACATGCTCCCTCCTCACTCTGCCTGTTCCTGGCTGGCATTTGGCTACAACCTGCAGGGATCCACCCACTGTCTGTGGTAGTTGGGCCTGCCAAATATACCTCTGTGACCAATCTTGTTCTTTTGAAAGGTGAGCTATTTAAGAGTTTAGTTTTTAAGGACTACACCTGTCAGTTTCTGGCTGTCAAGCACAGTCTCAGTTAGTCCGTCTCCTTATAGCTGTCTTGGAGGATATTCTGCCCTTTTGTCAAGGCTCCCATTGCTGAGTGGGTATCTCCTCCAGTTTTTTCTAGTCTTGGATGTGACTGTGCCTAACTTAGAAGCAGGGGAAACTGCAGACACTGGAGTCAGTTCTCTTGGCTGCTCTTTGTAACACTAAGCATTCAGTTTGTCATCAATGGTATGTCTTGATAGTTGGTCCAGAAATTGGCACAGGCAGCCCAAGACTTGGCTCTACTTCCCTCCTGGACCAGCCTTGTGGAGGATTTCCAGAATTCATCAAAACCAATCTGGCCTTGTTCAGCCCACTTGTGTGCTTTTCTTTTGTTCCCCCTGCTCCCCATCCATTATACTAAGAGCACTTCCTCCTGGCAGTTCCACAGAAGCCCCTTCCAAATGCAAGCTTGTTGAAGAAATGCACATTGGAGGGAAAACATACACCTTTTAAACCTGCTTTGTCATATTTATGTTCTGCCGTCTGCCTTGCTTTCTGTAAGAAGTCTAGGAGTGAGTGCTTTGTTTTGTTCCCCCACCCCATAGACCAGCTTCTAGTTTACCCAGATCTAATAGGAAATGGCACATTTGTGAGGAGAAAGCCTCACGCTCAGAGGAGTCTCCTCGTCTTTTCCTGCAGGGTTTCTCAAGCTCAGCACCAGTGACACTGGGTCACATAACCCTCCACTGTGGGTGTCTGTCCCAGGCACTGTAGGATGTTGTACAGCATCCTTGGCCTCTAGTTGTCAGAAACACCTCCTGGTTGTTACCGTCAAAACTCTTCGGATATTGCCAAATGTCCCCAGTGAGGGGTGGAGCACAGACCACCCCTGCTCTGCACTATTCATAACTCAAGCTGTCACCTTCACCTTTGGCAGGGTGTCACCTCTACAAAAGGCTCCCCTGGGCTCCCCACTCATTTCTTGTAATTAGAAATGCCAGGCCTAGTCATTGATGTCCTCTCAGGAAGTTCATCGATCCTCCCACTTTGTGTCTAGTAATGAAATTTTATTGATCAGGGAGGGCCAATGGCAGTTTATAAACTGCCAGCACTGGAACTGTTGGCAGGTGGCAAGAAGGGAGTAGGGAGGGGACAGTCTTCCTCACAGAGAGTAGAAGGGCAAGTTGGAGTGGGCTATACCTAGAGTGGGAGGCATGAGTGTCAGACAACCCCAGGGGCCCCTATGCTTGGATATGGAGGCCATCTCTTGATATATAAGGGAAGGACAGGCCAGCTAGCCTGTTTAAAAATCATGAGTCCTTTAGAAAAATTGTGTTTTCCTGGTCTTTTTTTTTTTTTTTTTTTTAATCAGTTTCCTAGGAGCAGAGCTGACCTCACATAGCCCAGGAGTAACATGTCCTAGGCTTTCCCCTGGGGACCCTGTAGGCTCTTCTGAGCCACCAGGATTAGAAGAGAACTGTCACTTCATTTTTCTTTCTATTCTCAGAGAAGCCAGCAGCTTGAGACCAATGACATAACTTAAGCAATTAGTGTGAACAGAGTTTGAAACTGGCTGTCTGTGGCCATAACTCTAAGGTTATAGAGAGGTCCAGCTGCTGTTTTCAGAGCTTCTGCCCCGATCCTTGTATCTGGAATCATATATGGAAGATGGCTCGGGTGGACCTCTTCTCACCATACAAGAAAAAAGATGTTCAGGGACTTGCCAGGTGGAAAAACAAGTCTGATGGAATTACGACAAGAGCTTTGCATGCCCAACTCCTAGCTCAGGCTCCTGCAGTGAGTGGGTGAAGGTTCACCTCTGCAGGAGGAGTTTGATGCTGTGCAGTTTCCAGAGACCCCTGTCTGTCCCTTGCCAGCACTTGTGAGGAGAGGGAGCGTGTCTTGTGAACTGTCTCTTGCCAGCACACCAGGCCTCTCGGTCCTCCTAGTGGTGGGTGGTTAGTCAGATTCAGCAGAGCCATTGGGTCTTTGGAAATGAGGGGTGTTTTACACTCTCAATCACAGCCTTCCTCAGCGCACTGCACCATTTCACATAAGCTTCTCCACGCTTCCCTTTAGCAGCAATTTCTCGTCCTAGAGCCCTGCATTGGCTGCAGAGGGCTCCTGGCCACGGTGTCTTTGGCTTCAGGCTCTGGACTCAGGATCTTCCTCCTCTTAGGCCACAGCCTGTCTTCCAGGCTGGCCACGCCTCATGCTTCCCTTGTTCCTGTCTAGATTTGAAATCTAGGGCTGGTAGAGTGGAAGGAAAGGTGGTTTAAACTGTAAGGCCCTGAGTTTAAACCCAGTATTACCAAAAAAAAAAAGAAAAAAAACCTGAGTCCCTAGATTTGTTGAAACCTCTCTGATCTCCAAGCTTCACTGAGCCCTCTCAGGTGCAAGTCCCAAGCTGATGAACCTCCTGATGACATCACAGTGTGCCAGCCAGAATAAGAAATAGGCCTTTCGGGCCATATTTCCACTTTTTGTAGAAAGCAAATGACTTGGAGAACTGAAAGTTACAGAAGATGTAACTCTTAGGTGGAGATTTAGTTAACAAAAAAGAATGCAGACATCTCTCTCTCTGACTCCCTGACCCCTGGCTTTGTTGCTTTTAGTGGGAGTCAACTTGTTCTATTTCTGCATCATCATTTATCTATATGGAGACCTGGCCATCTATGCTGCAGCCGTTCCCTTCTCCCTCATGCAGGTAACCTGGTGAGTATCTTCCTCGTCCCCTCTTCTGCATTGGCTATAGCCCAGCGGGCCTCCTTAGCCAGTCAGGGTAGAGGGTCCAGAGTAGAAGTACGACTCCAAGTGAGTCCATAGCCTAAGAAACATAGGCACCCAATGCCCTTTCCTACACATGCCACAGCCAACTGTGCCCTCTGTTCTCAGGAGCCATTCTCTATCCTGCTGTCCTCTTCCCTGCCCTGTTGGGAAGATGGCTTGGATTCCCACTGAGGGCTCCTGAATCATCAGGAAATGGTGCTTCAGAAATAAGTGGAATGCATCCTACAAGTTAGTTTATGAAAAGTCAAATTGTTGGAGCTGAAGCCCTGTGCAGTGTGGGGGGAGGGTGACTTCTGCCTCTTCCCAACCAAGTGTCCATTCTGAGCCCAAGTCCACCATTACTCTCTCAGCAGTGCCACTGGCAATGACTCCTGTGGCGTGGAGGCAGATACCAAATACAATGACACTGACCTGTGCTGGGGTCCCCTGCGCCGAGTTGACACCTACCGCATCTACCTGGTGAGTGTAGAGTGCCCAGCTTGGAATGCACCAGGCCAGCCTGAGTGGTGCTGAGGGTGCTTGAACCACCTCCCCTTTGCAGAACCTTTTCCCCAGAGAGGAGAGCCTACACACCTCCACATTCTGGCTGAGTACTGGAGTTTTGGCTCCAAGGAAATAGATTGTGTCACAAAGACTCTTGCCCCACAGTGTCCTGCTGACCATGCCTCAAAGTCAGGTGTGGTTTGGAGTTAGCATCCAGGATCTTGTCAGCTCAAGGGCCGTGGAGCATTGCAGACCTAGATCAGGGCTCGAGGAACACTCTGCAAAGGTCTGAGAATGCCATATCTTACATTCCAGAGACTTCCATGTCTTGACCTTACTCAAGGCCAGAACAGAAGTATATAGGCAGAAGATGGGTCGCCTGATCAGATAGGCAATACTGATCCATCTTACAGCTGACCCTGACTGCAGACAGGGAAGGATCAGCCCAGGCCTCTTCCTGTCATCCCCGCTCCCTGTGGACAAGGGAAGATGAATCTCCCCACTCAGTCTTGATTGCTTCATGCCATGGTGTGGTGAGGGGGGAGCTGAATAATATGCCAGATGAGCCACTGATAATAAGACAATACCAGAGACAGTTATTTATCTCTGCCTGCTTCAGGGGTGGGACTCAGAGATGTTTCTCTTCAGGTTTTGCCATATCTATTAATATTTTCTACCTCCTTTTGATCCTTCTCAGGCATAGCAGAGATTCAGGTGTGCTGGGTGACGCACAGTTTTTGACACACGGCCACTTAGCGATTTGAAGCGGCGGGGGAGGGGCTAGAAGAGAGCTAAGCCTTTTTGGCAGTGGCCTCTTGGTGATCCCTATCCTGGCAAAGGTTCTACAGGCCCTGCTAACTACGTTTTGGGGGTCTGGACTTGTTAACCCCAAGGGCTACTGAATGGGTTTTGTTTTCTGGGTCCTACCCTGTGGACTCTGAAGGAGCCTAGCAACCAAAGCCATGGAGAGATCTGTTTCCTCTCTGCTCTCTGTATTTCTGAAGCAGTCCGTTAATGGTCTTTGTTTCTTCCCTTGTGCATTCAGTTATGGCTAGGAGTTTGTCTTGTAGTAGAATTGCATCTCTGATCTTCTGATTGCAGGCCTGGTAGAAATTTGGGAGCAAGTTTAATTGTCCAGTACCCTGCTTTACTTCTCTGGCCTTCGAGGTGGACACCAGGTGTGGCAGCCAGGAGAACTGAGACCCTACAGGCCTTTTAACCACTTAACATGTCAACAAACTGTGACTGACAAAATTAGCAAAAGTATAAGTACCTTCTGAATCTCTCCTCCTGCCCAGGGACCAGGGGGAGGATATGGAGGAAGGGATCCCAGGGACTCCAGGGAGGAGCAACAGCATCCAAGCCACTAGTGGGTCCTTGCCCAGGAGGCTACCAGAGTCTGTAGACCCTCCCTGGCACACTCCCCCACCTACCAGCAAAGTGGATACCAAGTGCTGGGAGTATTGGCTGCTGCCATTTGCTTGGTAAATTATTCAGAAAGCTTATTATTGTCTTGTTAAATTGTCCCTTGACTTGTTCCTATAATCCTTCCACATGATGGAAGCCTCCCTCCCCGAGCCTCAATAACTCTGACCGAACAGAAGGAACCCCTCAGGAAGCAGACAGGCATTCATTACTGCCTTCATCTCCCAGATATTGCACTTATAACTCATGGAGCTAATTGTCCCAGTGCCTGCAAATGCTCCAGACCTGGGAGGCCAAGGTTGCAGCATAGGAACAGGAAGACTGACTATCCCTCAGGAGCCAGCTGTCTCGGCTATGGGTGCTATCCCTCCCCTTGTCCCAGTTTACCCTGGAGCTTTTGCTGTGCCTCTGCTTTTCTACCTGGTTCCAAGGAATTTGAGGCAGACAAACCTGGGCATCGTCTCAGAGGTTGCTTTACAGCTTTGCTTGTGGCTCCCACCATTCATGTACCGCAGAATAACAGAGCCTGCTGACCCCAAGCACTGGGGCTTGCATCTCTTTGTGGCCTCTCCTCTTCTTGGTAAGTTGGAAAGGGAGGTAGCAAAGAAGTGAGTATTCTTCCTCAGACCCAAGTCCCCTTGCAGGTGACAAGGGCATCTTCCCCTCTCAGCTCAACTTGCTGGACTCCAGCAAGTGGCCTCTTTGAGTTCCTGGAGGGCCGTCCTTTCCCCTCGGCCGTAGTCATTCACATTTAGATCATCCATCCCTTCTGGAGATACCAGCATGCCTCTCACCACCAGCTGTTTCTGATTTTGCTGCCAGCCAGGCTCCACCCAAAATGTTCAGCAGGGCAGTAAGCAGGTGGGGGTACATTAATAGTTCCTTCCATTGTGCACATGTCTCTTTGTCTTAGGTAAATGATGCTCTCCCCGGCCTGCATCTTTAAAAGGGCCTAGTAATAACTGCGTCTTCATTGCTATTCTGGGATAGTATGTTCTGTGGGATAAAGATACAGGCTTTTATATTATGGCTTAATTTTCAAAAAGTCCTCGGAAACCATCTCTGCTGTTTCTTCCCAGGAAAGCTCCTGAGAAGCACACACAGAATGAGAATATCTGGGATATTAACTGTCCATGATTATGTCCAAGAAGGGAGCATTCTCCATTAACAGCTACTAGTCGCCTCCCTAAGCCCTTGACTTAACAAATGGAAAATTCCTCCTCCCCTCCTAGCACCCTCGACCCCTGGCCACTTCCTGTGACTCCCTGTGCAGCTGATATGAGTCATTTTCTCCTCCTTTCCTGCAGTAGCCACAGAGCAGGGTGCTGGGGGGCAGAGGGACCCTGAGTCACTGGCTGCTTCACACTAACTCTTGGGTGTCTATGCAGGCTGTCATAGCTGGAGCCAGCAGTGACCTAGGCCCTGTCATTAAGGCCCATGAGAGTTCTTATCAGGATCTGCTTTCAGCTGACTGAATTCTTAGGCCCCCACCACCCAGCCCTCCCACTCCTTTGAAGAATGAAATGGGAAAGGCCCCAGCTCTGTCAAACTGGTAACCTTGCCTCCAGACTGGAGAGCACCTTAGGATTCTTTCTACAGAGTTTCTCTGGCTGTGGTAGGGAGCAAAGTCAGAATGTGGCATTTCACTCCTTCCTGTGCTGCAGTGCCAAGGAGCCAGGGACCCCTGTTAAAGTAGGACTATGCATGACTGAGTTCTGTGTCTGGGCCTAGGAGGTGTGCTGCTCTTCCCTGTGACAGGCACTGCCTAGTGTTCTTACTGCCCTGGGACTGACATTACCCCATCCTGTCCTTCTACCCCTTGCCAGAATCCGTCCCTTCTTCCAGAGAGTGTTAGAGGGAAGCTCTGAGGGAACAGTGGAGACTCCCTGAGTGCCGAAAGCTTCTCACTTTTCAAAAAAGTGGGTGGCATCCACCACTTACAGGTGGGCAAATGCTGCTGGATTACCAGCATCACAGTGGGCACTGACCCAACTGAGTGAAAGTGCAGATGGCAGAGCGGAGCTTATCCTGGCTGGAGACCCAACCCCTGCAAACTGGCCATATTGAACAGAGAGCCCCTTATTGGATGCTTTGGGACAGGACAAGGTGACCCTGGTTTGCTCTCCTGCCTTGCACTCTGGAACTGTGATATCCACCTCTGGGGCACAGGTGGCTTGGAAGAGAGATGCTGCCTGTAGGTACATGGCAGATGCCCTGTACCATCTATGGACAGAGGTTGTCTTTCCCACTCTCTCTCCAGATATCCCCTTGAAGAAGGGTTGAAGTGCAGGGGAATTCTGTCTGCCTGCCTCTTCCTAGAGGAGTGGGTCATCCTGATATTCAGCTCGGGTTAGCATGGGAAGGGTCTTTCCAGGCATTCACCAAGAGCCCTGTCTGCTGTCTTCTGATTGCCTTTTGGCTCTGACTCACTCTGTAACATGACCTTTGCCCATGTGCAACACTTAAAACAGCAGGCAGCCCTCTTTTTGAACCAAATGTATTCTTCCTAAAACAGGCACACTCGAGGAGAAAGTATCCTCTTTAGAAAGGATGGAGAAGGGAATACAACGTCTATGTGGCCCAATCTGTGAGTGTTCCTCCCTGCCTCAGTTCATCTTGCCTCAGTGTGGCATGTTCCAGTGACTTTCAAATTTCTGCTCTTGATCTCCTAGCCACACTGCAGATTACACAGCATCATCCCATCTTACAGTGGGGAAAACAGAGCCTTGGAGACAGTGGTTTCCCTAGGGTCCCAGAGCTGAAGCAGACACCCTGGCCGTTTGGGCTCTTAGCCAGGTGCTCTTGCCCAGCTAACACAGACTTGCTCCCCATCACAAGGCTCAGGTCCATGTGCTCTGCTCGAAGGGCAGTCCTGGCTGCAGTGTATAGTTGGAGGGCAGGGAGAACCTGTTTGTCAGCCCTGAGAGCCTGGCATTTGCAGGAGTTTGGGACGATGTGCCTGAGCACAGTGTTGGATGAGTAAGCTGCTTTTGTACATCCCTCCTGTGTGTTTGAAGGCTCTGTCTCTCTCATTGTCCCTCACTCCCAGGTAGTGAAGTGGACTTTTCCTAGTGACTCAAGTAGGGTTAGAATTGAATGCCTCTTTCCAAGGACATTCCTTTCCCGTTCCATGGTCGGTCTGTACTTTCAGCATCCTCCACTGTGCCCTGGGGCTATGGCATCTGCTAATAACTGGGTCACCACTGCCATCACTTGAATATTCATTCTTAACTAATTCTGGGGCAGGAGGTGGCCTAAAGGCCTTCAGGACCAGTGAGGAGGGAAAATTAACATGAAGCAACAAGTCTGAGGAGCCACAGGGACTTGGCAGGGCTTGGACACTCTTGGGTGTCTGTGTTGCACACCTCCATAGTGTTGTACACTCAGGCCATTTTCTCCAGCTGTGATGTCCCCAGAGCACACCTTCAGGAGAATATGGGTTAATGCTGCCTCTGGATTTGTACAGTGCAGACCCTGGCTAGAAATGGGAACTGGTGAGGCTGGAAGGGTGGGCCCTGGCTTGGCAAGACTAATCAAGGGCTCTGAGGGGAGCAAGCAGTCTGTGGAGGCATCCTATAGGTTGGTCCCTCCTGGAAACCGAGAGCAGGGCCTTCTGCCCAGAGAACAGGTAGGCCAGTGAGCATTCCCTGCCGGGCAGCATCCCCTCCAGCTCCTATGATTTAAGTACTTGGCCCAGCCCCACACCAGAGCAAATCAGGAGAGGGTTCCTGGTGCCTGGGATGGGAACACCCAAAA